GCGTGTAACAAAGACAGGTGGAGAAAGAATTCAATCTCTGTGAGACAACCAGTCAGTTTTTATGAAAAAAGGTCATGCAATCATTTGGATCAGCTGTTCTGAAATAGAGACACGTCTAAAACATGCAGAGCAGAGGGTCAAAGCACTGACCTAATGTGACACTGGACATATCATGGTGTAAACACTATATGCGTTTTGAGCGTCTGGTTTTGCATTCAGTCGATGTGGAGGCGCGTCGAGCGTCTGGAGTGTTTGACACATCCAGCGCGTCCAACACTCCACATAGACCTTGACTATAAACCAGAATCGCCTGACTCTCAAAACGCTTTTAATGTGAATGCGCCATTAAAATGTTCAGCTTCAATTGTAACGATGACATCAGCAGTGATGACATCACTCTTTGAGCGTCAAATGAATCTCTCTCTTGAGTGTAGCACACAGACTGTTTTTTCACACCTCTTCCTGTTTCGGACTTATAAGTCATGAATCTTCTACAGGAGCATTATTGAAATGATTTGAAGGCACAGAATCAGCCCAGTACAGACTCACATTCTCAGCTTGGAGACACTCAAATGGTATAAAGCAAATTTTTCAGTACTGAAATTTATAAATTTTATATGTCAAAGCATGTCGTGAATATGTGTGCATTTACTCCATCTTAAGTCCAGAGCACACTAGATTTGTTTGTTGCTTTTGCCATCACTAGATATGATTTTCTCAGTGTTCTTCTTCTTGAAATCTGGAAGTTTCACTAGCAAGACTTTATTGAAACATAAAGCAGGAAATGGAAATAAACACGCAGTCGGCTCAGTTTGACAGCTGGTTGAGCGCCGATTCATGCTGGAGCCCAATTGAATAAATGCTCTGAACCCCAAACAAATGTCCTTATTTGAATATAAGACAATGTCTATATTATGACCCAATGTTTTTCAGATATGCTGTGTAATGCTATACAGTATTAAGTAAGCGTATGTTTACGTTTTCCCTCATTTTGCAATGAAACAACCATAAACCTGGCTGGAGCATGATTTGGAAAACTAAGTTCTCTTCACAATGGCATGTAAAGAAACCAAAAACAAATAAACCATTGCAGTCCACTACTGCATTATGCCGTTTTAGCATAAATTCTGTTGTTTTGTAAAATCCTCAGGTTGTTTTTGAGGGAACATTGCTGAAAAAACATAAAAGTGCTGCAGACACATCAAAGAAAAATGTATAGAGAAGTTTACAACAGGCTCAGGTCACAAGATAATAAACTAAGCTGTGAAAATGTCTGGTTTGTAGTTTCCTACCACATAAGTGAAGAACTAAAACTATGCGAGTATTGTAGAAGCTACTGCTGTGTTCTCAACCTTTCAGTTCATTACTTTGAGCATATTGCTCAAAGTAATGAGCATATTGACCACTTCTGGGTCTATGGTGGCCCAGAAGTGTCAAAAAATATCAAAAAACATAACAAAACAAAAGACATAACATTTATGCAAAAATGAAAGTTATCCTAAATTACATAATCAGTTTTAGCATAGATTTTTTTTTTTTTAACGTGGCTTTGTGGTCTTTGTTGTTGCGTTACGATGTTTGCGTTTTGGCAGCCTGACCGTTATCTTCCCACAAAATTCCATCCAATTCTCATTCCCCGTCAGTGATGCATCTGGGGTTTCTCCCACTGAGTTCAATTCCTCTGGTAAAATTTCCACCGGGCCAGTCAGCGAAGAGATTGAGGGGCTGTGAACAATGACATCAATTTTCTGTGCTGTTTTTGAAATGTGGCCCGACTTTGGTTGCAGCAGAGGAAGCGAACGAAGCCATTCGGTCTGCGTGGGGCACACTTCCAGCTGTTGAGGAAACAATGTTGGACCAAGAGTAATATTTAAGACATTTTATTCCTGGCAAAGATCTTGTTTGTTTCTGCGCTTCTCTCTTTGAAGAGTTGGATGGTTGTTTCGAGCGCGGACAGTTTCGGTTAAGTTTCATCGCCTTGTTTCCTTCATGGACGAGCTGGCGCATTTCACACGTCACGGATAAACTTTCGCAATTGGGTAAAATCAGATGTAATCATTTATAGCTTTAGTGAAGTCCGCATCTCCAGGCGATTACGAACCGTCTGCTAAAATCCTATTGTCGGAGGCTAATGTGACACAACAGTGAGCCAATAAAAAGAAAAGGAAAAATCCAACGGTCCCGTCCAAACAAACCGAGGGAGAGCAGGTGAAGCTGTTAATCTTGGCAGAATGGTAAGAGGAAAACTTCTGTGTGAGAGAATCCAGGGATTTTTCTACATCCAGGGAAGTGTATTCTGGCAGAGCCGAAAACACAACAAACCTGCAGTCCTTCCGCAGCAAACATTTGCACAGAGACACAAAAAAAATTAGACAAGCATGCATGTCTCTCCCCCATTTTTTTTTTATGCTAAGAGGCTGCAGCTTTAACATGACATCATAGCTCTGAGATTTAGTCCTGCGGTTTGTGGCCTCCAGTAAATCCTTCCTGTTGAAGTTGCTTTGTAGCCCTCCAGGGTGAGAGTATCTAAACAGAGTGAGTGATTATTCAATGTGCGCATATTCAGGTTCCCGTCAGTGAGCTGTATAAATAGCCAACCAGGTCCAAATAATTCACTACCCACTCAGTGGCACAGCTGTCTCAGGGCAAGCTCAGAGTGCTGGGTGGCGCTATACTGACATCTAGTGGTCAGAAAATGTATTGGTAAACTTTGATTCCAGACAGACAGACAGACAGACAGATAGATAGATAGATAGATAGATAGATAGATAGATAGATATAGATAGATAGATAGATAGATAGATAGATAGATAGATAGAGATAGATAGATAGATAGATAGAGATAGATAGATAGATAGATAGATAGATAGATAGATAGATAGATAGATAGATAGATAGATAGATCTGAGTGGTGTGACTCATCTTCAGCCTCACTGTAGATTAAAAGTGAGAACATGAAAAATGCAAGCTTCACAAATCATCTGTGACCAGTGTGCGACAAATCCAAAATGGTCCCAATGCCAAGACGCCGCTGCAAAACGACTGCTGTTTTCACCAACACAATAAAAGCTTTTTTAAATGTGTCATTGCGTTTTAAAGAATCCGCTTTCAGCCTCTCTGTCCGTGTTTTCATGTTGTCTTTTGCGCTTCCGTAAGACGGCGGTGAAGGCGTCCTGATTCTGATGTGAGCACCTGGAAAAGTTCTGGATTTGTGCAAGAGATGGTCAAATGTTTTCCCATTTAATATTTTCCAGGAGCATCTTCAGCTCTCCTAAAGATGCTCCATCTGTAGGATAATGCTAAGTATTGTAGCATTATCCTACAGTACTTACTAGGCAGTGCCTATTATTCCCTTTGGCTTAATATACAAATAACCAATAAAAAACTGTTCTAAATGCCAATTAGTTTTATTTATTTTTATTTTTTTGCCATGTGTTGCCCTCTGCCACGTTTTTTAAAAAAAAAAAAAATAATAATGTAGCAATGTCTTACATCAAAACATATTAATGTGCTAAAATGCAAAGTCCAGACTTGAATTGCATTGAGAATCAATAGACGGATTTTGAAGTTAATTTTACAGCTGTGTTCTGTCCAGTCTGACTGAATTTCACGTTTTTTGCAAAGAAGAATGGACAAAAATTTCAGCTGTGCTAAACTGATACATACAGAGATATATCGTAAGACTGTAACTGTGAAGAAAGTTGATTTGTGTATCATTTTTCATTTCAGCTGCACATATATGCAATGCTTCTTGGTCTTAAACACTGATTCCCAATTAATTTACATCTTCATGTTGTTACAAACTTTGTAGTTACATTGTGACGAATTGAGAGTTTTCGAGCAATATGTCTGTAACGGACTTTGAGCCACTGCTGCAACTACAGCTTTCAGCTGCCCGACTTTCTGCCAGGAATGAGAATCAGTCCAATCCTGGGGGAGTTTCCCACCTGACTGTTTTGCTGCACTTGCATGTGCAAATAAAAACCGAAACAACATGCAAATAAAATGTAAGCCCTTTTCTCCATGCAGCTGCACCCTCTAATGAGGGGCTTTCCTGGCTGTGTAGATGTTTGCTGTACAAAAAAAAAAAGTTGACCTGCTTACTAGTAAATTTTAAAAAATAAATAAGTAAGAACAATCTCCCTTCTTCCATGTTCAAGCTGTTTATTTTTGTAACTTTGCTTGGCGTTCATCTCAGGCTGATGAGCGTATCGGGGGCAACGCAGGGGTTCACTGCGTTGCCTTAGGATGTTTCATCGCTCAGCGGGGTTTTATGACACAAACTGCTGCAGGCACAAATATGTAAAAAGCAGCTTCTGCTCTCGAGATAGCAAGAGTGGGAGAGACAAAAACAGCACAAACCTGATGATGGACTGAGAAAACTGTATCTCCAAGAAGGTTTGCCGTATTTTGCATCTCAGCTTTTTATTTATTTATGTATTTTTATTATTATTATTTTTATTTCATTTATTTTTTTATTGGTCATTTTTCCAATGTCTTTTTTTTCACTTCTTAAGAACAGGGAATGTTTGGGGGGGTTTTAAGACCGTTTGGCCTACTTGCCGCAAGATAAGATTAGATGACAGTGATATCCATTAAATTAGAATAAGGACACAATATAATACACTGAAGATTGGTGGCCTTAAGCAGAAACTTACTTTTCACTGAGGCTACTTTTCTGTATTTTTTTTATGTCCGTCTGATATAACATTCTGATGTCACGTCTTTCTTCATTGTAAGCAGGCAACCATCAGAATTATCAGAAATTGACTTTTAATGTATACAATGTGCTTCACTTAGTGATAAAGTTCCTGAAATAAATTGACTTTTCAACATTTTTCATTTATTGAATACATCTGTGGCAGCAGTCCAATCTGAGTGTTTGCTGTGACATTTAACTTGGCTTCCTATAAAATATCACTAAGTAAAGTTGACTCATTTTCTACCTTTGTGTGCAGGCAAACAGCTGGGCAGCTCTAAAGGACTTTAATATTCTGTAAGGCTTTCAAGTCGCGCCCAGCGGCGGACCCTACGAACAAACAGATGATATAATATAGTTACATCAAAATCATCTGTATATGTTTACGCTGTAGTCTATTTTAATATTGTCTGAAATGAGAAAAGATGAAAGCGTGTTGTCAAAAGGTGCTTTTTAACGCAACGGGTTGGGCGTTACGTACGGTACTTCCGGGTTTGACGTCAGCGTAGCTCGCAGAGATACAAAGACGGCCACAATGGCGGATGTTTCTCTGTATCTCGCCAATGTTAACGTGTCTTTAGGACGCGGCATGGACACGGGGCAGGTAAGAGTGTCGCTGCTTTGCTTCTAGCCTAGTCGGCGAGCCGCTCGCGGTGTGTTTACCGGTTTCTAATGCATCCGGGGGTTTGGGGCTTGTCGGCGTTCAGCCGCAGCCGTTGTCACGTCGGACGGATCTGGTTGAATGTCGCCTCTGAATTTGCCTGGACGCGCTTGTCGTGTCCTCCCAGGGTCAGAGCCCGAGCCCGGGGAGGGAGTTCGAGAGCGTCGAGCTGGGCGAGCTGGGCCAGCGGACGGAGCCGAAGGAGAAGGCTCCCCGCCGCATCATCCACTTCTCCAGCGGGGAGACCATGGAGGAGTACAGCACCGACGAAGAGGAGGTAGAGGACCCGGAGGCGGAGCGGAAGGACCTGCTGTCCCCTCCGGTCGATGCGGTGAGGGTGAGGAGCGGTGGCGGGTCGTGACCTTCCGTTCGTGTGAAGGTGAGGGTAACCTTGTGTTTGTGCTGCAGTCCAAGATGACCTGGGGGCCTTACTTCTGGTTCCACATGTGGAGAGCTGCCACATCCACCATCTCAGGTTTGCAGTGGCTTGGATACAACTATCCACATTCCTATTGAACAAACATGTTCCTTCCTTCATTGTAGATCATTTATTTTTATAATCAGCTTACAAACAAGGCCAGAGGTGGATCTAGGAAGATGCAGGCCCTCGGGCAAAAGTCAGTTTTGGTGCCATAATCGCACCTGAGTTATAATAGTTTGGGGTTTAAATTGCAGTTAAGTTTTATTTAACTATAATTAAAATATTGTTAAATAACTATATTTAACTATACAGTTAAAGGTCAAAGTGTTGTGATTAGGTATGCGCTGATGCCCAACAGAAGATGTCACTTCCAAATAAGTGTATTTAATCATTGCTGAACAACCCACTGATTGGCATTGTCTCCCAACTTTTGCTGCCGCCATTTTGTGGACCAGCACAAATATCGCCAGGAAGAGTGGAGTGCCGTAAATTGCCGATAGCCGACGTAAACTGTGGGTGATCAGTACTAAAGGCTAATAAGTAGGTTCATGAACACAAAAATGTTCAAGTACGTCTCAGCTATATCAACGCACGATATAATTGTATAGTTGGCTTTTTTTTTTTTCTCTGAATAACTTTTATGTATTTTAGTTGACAAAAATGTTTACTCAATTTCAGTTTTGTCATTTTAGTTAACCACAGTAAACTTGACCCACACGGGTTTCTTTTGCACATTCAAGTCACAGTATGTTGATGATTGGCTAGTTAAACACCAACTCGCTGGGATTGGGAAAAGTTAGTTGATAACAGAGCAATGGGGCCATGACTGTTTTCTATTGAAACATCATCATCATCTCTCCTGCGGCAACAATATGCCGCAGATGGTGTCATTGACATTGTTAAAGCAGTAAGCACAAAAATGACGTTAGCTTGTGTTTGGTCAACATTCAGTTGTTTTACATTGCAGCATGCGACTATCTTGGGGAGAGGATGGCGTCTCTGTTCGGAATAACATCGGCAAAATACCAGTACGCCATTGACGAATACAACAGGATAAAGAAAGAGGTGACGCCGGAGCGCTTAGAGGAAATGCTGTCTTCGTTTGTTGTGTCTCGGCCGTCCTAACGGTATTCCTCCCCTGCGTCCTCCAGAAAGAGGAGGAGGCCGAGGAGAACCGGCTGTCGGAAGAAGCCGAGCGGACCTTCAAGCAGCTACAGTCTCAGGAAGTGAAGGGCGAGCCGATGGCATCGGCGGACGCGCGGGAGGCGGCGTCTGCTCGCCCCGGCGCAACCCGTCGGCTGGAGAACGAGAATCCGGCGGCTCCGAACACGATCACCGTCCCGGTTGTCGTCACGGCGACCTAACCCTTCCCGAGAGGACATTTCACTGTTTGTTTGTCAGTAAGGAAGAGAACATCACCAAGCTGTTTGGTTTGCGTATAACACGGCTTTTAATGGGCAGATCGGATCGGTGCATCAATGTGGGAAATCAGAAACCTTTAAACTCATGCAGTCGGGCAGATTTTAGGAAGTAAATGCCACTGTAGGGAGGACAACGTGTTGCTCCCCTGCGCCTCAGATTGACCACACGTAGTGCCTAAACCGCCCACACAGCCAGTGCCAGATGTGGGCTGAGCATCTGTTTAACCGCGATCCCATGTCCCTGCGGACGGTTTACGTTCCCCATCTCAAGGTTCAGCAGCCGCTCACGTCTACGTCTGTTAGCGCTGATGTCCTGGATCCACCTGGCTGCACCAAAGAGCTGGCCATGTTAACATTCCTTCACCTCGTGTCCATATGCATGCTGTGTGTAGACGTGTTTTAATGTTACATGTTCAGGCTTGTGTTGCACTTGTCTGTGGAAGCACTGAGCAGATTAAATGGTGGCTACATTTTAGCCGCCACGGGGTAGGCTAACATTTAGCTAAACAGAAATGGTGACAAGTGGGTGTAAGGGTTGCGTGTTGCTGTTTCATCCGCCTTATTTACTGTGAACTTTAAAGTAATCTTGTGTAATCTTATGGGTAAAAAATTATGACACTAAGTCTGTTTAAGGACCTACAAAGTTACATTTTTAACCACTTGTAAGCAGTTTTTTACACTTATTTATTTTCTTAACTTATTGAGCTGTTAATTTGACATTTTCTATTGTTTTTGTAACATGACAATAAACTGTTAACTGACTTTTTTTTCTTTACCCATGACTCTTAATTTTGATAATTGTCTGCACCTCTCCATGTGTCTAAAATTAAAATCTTCAAATGTCTTGTATTCGGAAAGAAATGTAAGTGGTCCTTGATATATTTGCATTTATTAATCGGCGACAGTATCTGAACACTCTGATGTAATGAGATTCTCTACGTCAGATTTAGCTTAGGCCTACCATATATCTAGGCAGGTCATAACTAAATTACATTCAGCATGTTCCGTATTAGCCATTCACACTAAGTGTTGTAAATTAAATCAAACGTACGCATCTGCCAAATTTCCAATCCTGACAGAATTTCATCAGCTCAGGGCGTCATTTTGCAACATCTGAGAGGCTGCTTTAATATGGTGTGTTTGAGTCGCCTGCAGACGACGTCGTTGCAGTTAAAGCTGCCGCAAACTAGCTGCTAATATGTCCACGCTAGCCAGCTGGCTCTCCTTTGTCTGTCACGGGTTAAATGCTGATTTCATCACCGGTTGACGGACCCATGTTTGTTTAGGCCACTTCTGTTGTAAACCCATACGAAGCTAGGCGCTATATGTGCAACAATGGAAAAAAACTCAACACAAAAACAATTAATTGAGCTTAGCGCTATTGGGTTGTAGGCCGTAAAAGAGCGGCATGTAGAGAAGCACAAAGACCCCAGAAATGTCGGCTTTTATTTTGCTCGATTGTATTTAGATTTTTCTTCAAATCCATGCAAGGCAGCATATATATATATATATATATATATATATATATATATATATATATATATATATATATATATATATATATATATATATATATAAACATTGGATTTGCTGAGACCTACCAACGCGGGCTCTATCTCGCCAATGTCACTCGTCTCAGCCGTGCTTCACTTGCCTGCCTGTTCAAAGACTCGGTGGTGTGATGCAGTATGGTTGATGTGAGGGCTCGCTTTGTCAGTGGCAACAAAAGAGGCTGTGTCACTGTGTGCGCAGGCTGGCCCGAGGTCAGGGACCCTGTCCGCCCGCCGCACAATGAATCCATTCTGCCTGCGGCGTGGGGTTTCTGTGTGCCAGAACGACCTCCTCAGCAGTCCTAACCTCACCGCTGCGGCCATGCAGCAATGCTTTGACTCCATCTTGCAGTGAGTCACGGTCAAACAATAGGTTCAGTCCAGCTGTTACGAAGAACTCCCTCCCTTCTTCTCTCTCGTTTTTTAACGATCTTGTTGAGCCTCGAGTGAAAACCCATGAGATATTAAAGATGGTGTCCCTGCAGAGTTTTCCCCTCTTCATCCCTATAACGATGCCACAACCTTTCCTTCAAAAACCGGCTGAAGTCTTTGCACGTTTGGTTTAGTTATGTGCACAACTGGTCAAGGTTGACGGCAAACAGAATCCAACTTTCTGCTATGCTTCTCCAAGGTCTTCTCGCCATGTGTCAATCGTATTCAATAAATATGCATTTCTCACCTGTCTCTATGGTAACAGGATGCAAATGAAACATTCCTGTTGGATAATCAGCTGCATTTATCTGATGAAACTGGAAAACACGATGCCATTCTTGCATTCTTTGTCAAGTCTCTCTGGAGAATCTCACCAAGCATTTCTGCTCTACTTTCTACTGGAAATAGTGAACTTGAAATGCGACCAGCTTCTAAGCTGGATGCTGTAGGTTTGTGTTTTCGTTTGTAAGCAGCAGTGAAACCTGTGAACGCCACACGTCGTTCCCGGCCTTGTTGATGAAATCCTTCGTGTTTGCTTGGTTGACTTTTGAGTGACGTACATGTTCATTTTTGTTTCCGCTCTCACAGTCTGAGGCACCATCACCGCGGTCTCAATCTGAGGTTTGGTATTTGCAAAGTAATAAGCTCTATTTTTGTATTTTTTGAGGGAGCCTCAACAGACAAAGACGCTTAGTTTTAGCCCCCCGTTACTCTCATTCCCCCAAATCAAATTAATCGGAATTAACTGCCTTCTACAACAAAAGATTAGGGACGTACCAACAGAAAATAAAGCCATAAAATAATGAGACTGAAATGATTCTTTTTTAAAAATACCAGGATAAAACTTGACTTGTCGCTTTCAGAAGTCAAATCTTTATTAAACAAATTCAGAGACGTGCCCTAATAGACACTAGATGGCGATAACACACCTGGACTAAGTTATCTGGCTTAGTCCAGGTTAATCGATCGTTTTAGTCTAATCTAATACGATTATTCAGCAACGCGGAATCAAACCAGCAGTAGTTTTATGCTGTAGGAGACATTTCACAGCAAGTTGTAAAAGTACCGCAACCAGCCCACAAGAGGGCAGCATCGTCTTAGATAGGAAAACTCACCAGGGTCTCCAGTGTGTAAACACACACATATATAGTGACATACTGCAAAAAATGATCGCAGTTCTTTTCACTGCTCCTCAGTAAACTAATCACACAATTAAACACCTGTAGAAGTCTCTTTTTTTCTGCAGGAAAGAGCAGATTAAGTCATTCTAGATCTAAAACTTTAGTTTTTCACATTGTTTATAAAGAAAAAAAAGACTTTCAGTTTGCAAATTGTTTTAGGCTCAGATTTAATTTCCTGAGGGAGTCTTCCCAAGGGATCAATAAAGTACAAGTCTAAGTCTGAGATGAAAAAGAAAGAAAAGAATATTGCACCTATTTTCAGCGATAAGAACAGGGTTTGGGTCGCTCTCCATACAAAATGTTTGCGTTACAAAAACAGATTCGGGTTCTCTGACATCTGTTGATAAATATTGTCCTGTTCACAGTGAAATTAACGAGACAGCAAAAAGCTTGGTTATTAAAAGAAACTTGGTGTTGCACTTAATATTTTCCATTGTAGAAAATGTGAATTTTGTTATAAATTTGCTCTAATTAACGAAAAAAAAAAGTCTGTATTTGCATCAGCCATCAGTTGTGGCGGGCCGCATTCACACCACCTTTGTTTAGTCTGCTTTAATCCAGCACCGGTTTGTTCGGCTATACGGTCCAGTTCGGTTGCGGAGGTGTGAATGTGCAACTGGTTTCTGATGCAGACTGAAGCCTGGCCACCCTGAAACACTGAGGTATCGGGTCGGTCGAAGTGAACTCTGGCAAACGCGTGCCAGAGATCGCTCCAAAGAGCAGCAAGCGTACGACGGTGCAGGGCATTTTGGGTAGCCACGGCCAAAACAAACTCGAGTTTCTGGAGCTAATGGAGGAAATGGCAAACGAGAAAACAACCTCTAAACCCTGACGCCACTCCATCTTTGTTGACATTTCGTGAAGAAGGAAGTAGCTCTCAGAGTCGTCTGCAGAGGTTTTCATGTTGTTTTGTCTCGGTGGTTCTTGGTGCAGCACCACCCCAGATGAGGAGGGATTTGAACTGCTTGACACAATGACACAAGAGAACCTCGGCAGACGAAAATGTAACAAATGTTGCAATTTTGGCCTCCGACCGAAGCGAGTCTACGGAAAACATGAGAAGTCAAACGGCCGCACTTTGGACACCCCTGGTTTTAGACAGGCCTGGAAACCTCTGAGCTGTTTCCTTCCACTTCAAGTACATAGACAAAGATAGAAAAAAGAAAAAAAGGTTCCCCTGGAGAGGGAGAAACCCCTCGGTGGTCTGTATATCTCGTCCCACAAAGCGGAACCGACTGACCAACTGGTGCAGCATCCAGGAAGTGTGAGACACACGGCCGTCACCGGACAATCCCTGATTACGAGGGAAAATCCGGAGTCTGAGGATTCACAATGCCGATCCTTGTGAGATCCTCCGTCACGGAGCGATGAATGCAGGCACGAGCATCCACTGTCACACGGCGATGCATCTGCATGCATTAGAGGGGGGTCGTTTTTATCGCGCCCCCCACACTCACCCTCCCGCCCATTCAGAGTGTCGTACTCGAGTTCTCCGCTGCTTGGTGCATACCTGACATTCTTGTTGGTTTTGAACCGTGGGGGCTGGGATTAAGGGGTGTTAAGTGAAGCAACGTTTTCACTTCAGATTTAGTCAGAGGTTTTACAGAGGTCTAACCACGAGCGCTAAAAATGTTCCCCAGCCCACCTGACTACCATATGTGCTGCTTCATCCGATCTGAGAATGATAACAGAGGGGGGGTTCAATAAATGTACTCACTCCACGCTGCAAAAGCACAAAACCCTATTTTTGGTGTAGTTTCCAGTGCAAATGTCCCGGTACACATGAAATGAGGCAAATTGACCTTACAAGTAACTTTTTGGGACGATAAAGGAGCTTGTTTTAAGTCAATATTCCTTAACTTGGAGGAAAAAGTACTACTTCCAATAGTATCCACACCCGGTGAGCTTTTGCACAATTTGTCGCAAACACAAACGCGTTTTATCGCAATTCGACGAGAAAGATAAACACAAATGCACATGACTGTGATGCAGAAAGAATACAAAATATGATTGAAAACCGTTTTTGCAAATTAAAACCGAAAGGCGCAGCAAACTAAGCTTTTCTCCGAGGGCAACCAGTTGTCTTAAGAAGTTGCCTGACTAAATAGAGTAACTTGTCAAAAATGTCTTGTTATAAGTGGAACAACCTGCCAGTGGGACTAGTACATCTTTACCAATATTAAGGATTATTGACTTAAAACAAGCTAATGCATCTTGCTGACAAGGGACTCATCAGCTGGTTTTGCCTCATTTGGATATTTGCACGTGAAACACTTGGCGATATTGAACGTTTCTGCGGTGCAGAGTGACTCGGACCTCACTTGGAGACATTTCTGCGCCCGCCTGGTTCGGGTGTGTGGGAGGGGACGCCGGAGGTCGTCGAGGGTCAGCGGCTCTTTGACAAACAGCTGCCAGGGCGCGAGAGACGGGACGTGTGCTAATGGAAAAAGCAGTGAGAGGGGGTTAAAGGAGCAGGTAGAAGAAGATGGGTGGTGGGCTGGAGCGGGGCGGGTTGATGAGAACAGCAGCAGCCCCTTTGATGTGGGCCTTGGCGAGGCTCAGAGTGCCTAAGACGACGCAGACTCGCTGAGGCTGAGGGAAGGGATTTCCAGCACCAGCGCTGCCTGGGCTCGGTCTCACCCCCTTTTAGTCTGCGCTTCCTTTGTGGGCTTAAAAACACACAGAGTCTCTGCAGCGAGAGGCTCCTCACTCTCTCTAACATCAGGGTATGGAACCAAAATGAGGTTCCACTGGTTGTGTCCAAAGCAGGTCTTGGCACTGCAGCGTCGCTTTCTGGACTTCACATGCACCAAATTTCATTGCACAAGTGTAAAATGCACCTTCGGTAAACGTAGTTTTGGCGTTTTTTTTAAAACTGTTTTATGAATGTGCTTGAACTCACAAGCAACGGTTGCTGCAGAGAGGGAACCTGGAGCGCCTCGCGACAAAACTGCATCAAACGTCCTGCTGGACTCTGAGGGTTCCAGCGGTTTGCGTGTGCACATCTGCAGACACGATGACTTCTCAACTTGACCCTCTCCAAGAAAAACCACCAGAGGACAAAGTGAAATTCTGCATGAAGTGCAGGGGACGCTGTTGTTGACCGTCAAAACGGCCGGGTCAGGATTCAGAGAGCATGGCGAAAACATCCTAAAAACTTCTTCCGACACTCCGAGTCCGATCGGTGTGTTTCCCAGCGTGACGAGGTGTCACAAGGCAGAAGTGATAAGGAAGTGGGCAAAAGGATCGTGACGAGGAAATTTTGGATTTATGGCCAAGAAACTCCCCAAGATGTCCACCTCTTCTCAGAAACTCTTTGTCGGTGCTGAGAAGTCGACAAGCTGCGACTGAGGCGCTATTTATAGATCAACACGAATCAATGATTTTCTACTTTCATCTGATAAAACTTCTCAATTGTACTCTGTTTTATTTCAGTCCAACACATGAGCCGTCAGTAAAATCTATTTCAGTTTGTGGTCATAAAGGAAGAAGTGGGAATAATTAAAAATAAAACAAAGTATCTAAGATGAGGTGGGAAAATCTCTAAATATACCACAGGATTCTTTTATTCTAGGTTTGCATTGGGCCTCTAATTGCTCTGTGCAGGATTTTACACTGTTGTCCTTCAATAGTCGCTGTTTTTTTTTTTGCTTTACATGCATGAAAAGTTTCCAATGCACAAGATCACAGAATGGCCTCTGCTTCCCAGTTTCAGTTCGTTTTGCGCTTACGGTATGCGCTCTCTCCACATGTAAACACACATGCAACACAGAGCGAGAAGGAGGAAAAAAAAAAGAAAAGAAGAAGAAGCCATGCGCTCTCGTGTGCGCGTTACGCGTGCGCGTCCTCGCGGTGTGTGCGGTGGAAAGTCCCTGGCACTCACCACCTCCTATCTCAGATGCTAGTTTGACGGTACAGGTGGCTGCAGCGCTGAGACAACATGACCTTTGAACCTCCAGCTGAACCAGATGTGCACGTTTCTACTGGTGCTGGCTCAAGAACGAGAGCTTTAGGAAAAATGTGAGTTGTTGGACATTAGCTTCCTCGTGCTAATTTGTGCAGAGTTGCTTTCTGCTTTGAACTCAGCCTTTCATTTTCATTGAAATTGAAAGGCCCCATGTTAAAAGACTAAGGGACAGTTTTGAAAGCACAAAATAAGTCGTTTCTTGACGACGTGTTCACACTTTTTGCTATTAAAAAGTTTCTGCAATCATCTTTGAATCCATTTGCACATGTAAAGGCTTGACCTTCATGCAGCCTTTCTCTGTAGCTCACGTCTTTTTATTGCCATTTCCTTCTGGTTGCTGCTGAGGTCCTTCTCTCTGAGTGGTGAAAAAAAAAAAATGACTCACATGGAAGCTAACCTGCAGCGAGTGAAGAAGGGCGACGCCAAGGCCGGCTTCCATCGGATGGAGATGGACAGGATCCGCTTTGTCCTCAGCAGCTACCTGCGATCCCGCCTTCAGAAGATTGAGAAGTACTTCCCCCACGTCCTGGAGAGAGAAAAGTCTCTAGTGGAGGGTCAGCCGTCTCTGCTTTCTCCGGAGGAGTTTGCCTTTGCCAAAGAGTATTATACCAACACAGAAACCTACCTGAAGGCTGTAGCGCTGAAACGCATGCCTCCAAACCTGCAGGCTGTGGACATGCTGAAAGCAGTGCCGGAGCCCTGCCTGGACTCTTTTGTGTTTCTGCGGGTGAAGGAGCGGCAAGAAAACGTTCTGATCGTGACTAAACTTCCTCCATCCTTGTCTTTGTTAATGCATGTTTGCAGTTTGCCTAAAGTCCCAATTTGAACCCCTTTCCAATTCATTTCAATAAAAAAAAATCAAACTTGACTTTTCCCAAGAGGAAGTGAAACGTTGTCATTACTCTTGCGGGACTGAAACGATTAATCGAACTCATCGTGATGAATCAATTAAAGAAATTATCGTCCACTAATTTAGAAATTGATTAATCGTTAACAGCAGCACATTGGCTAAAGATAAAAGCATTTGCTGAACATGAAAACATCTTTCTCTGTAAATATGTTTTACCCAAAACTCTTCAAGTGGTGTGGTTGTTGCTTCACCCGGTTCAAATACATTCAAAGAATTCTACGTTGTTGCATTTTAGGCAACAAAATGTTTATTTTCTTGATTTAAGAAAAGGACTTTTGATTATTTGCTTTATTACATTTTTTTATTATATAAAAGAGGCTTAAATGGTTAGGTAAAAATAAATCAATGGATTAATCTGATGTGATTAATCATTTAATATTTAGAACAATCGATTAATCGATAACCAAAATCATTTAGTTTTGAAACATGACCACAACAAAAAAAAGTTCTCCACAGCATTCTTACAGTTTCGAGTCTTTTTAACGAGGTAAACAAAAAGTGCCAAGGCAGGTGGCCTAAAGCAGGACCCTGTGGTTTTCCAACACTTCAATAAAACAATAAATTTCACGGTTTGGAGATATATGTCAGTGCGAAAACCGAGAAGGCCCCAGTGACAAGTTATCAAGCCGGGACACGTCTGGTGAAAGCTGAATAATTCACTGGCGGATATCAGCTCCTTATTCTGGAGTCACTGTCAGACGAGCAGAACGTCAGAAAAAGAAAAAGTTTTCTGTGTCAAAATCTGTATTTTATCAGGATAGAAGAGATACTTTAAATACCAAATGAAATATTACACATATATATGCATTAATGTTTCGGGGTTGTTGTTTTTTCTTTCACCATGTTATAGAATGTTTCTCTAAAATAAAAAATACTCCTCAAAAGCAAAACATAAATAAATAAACAAAAACAAAGCAATTTTTAAAGATCTGTATCATAACTTACATGTCTAAAGTGGGAAAATCACAACAGTGAACTCATTTTTGTTATAAAACTGGAAATAATTCATATTATACGTACTTTATTGTGGTTGTGTGGCAGAGTTGTCGTCTTGCAATCGGAAGGTTGTAGGTTCGATTCCAGCTTTCTCCTGCCATATGTCGATGTGCCTCTGGGCAAGATACTTAACCCCAAATTGTGTACCGGTCTGCGTAAGGGTGTGTGTGAATGGGTGAATGTGACTCTAGTGTAAAGCGCTTTGAGTGGTCAAAATGACTGGAAAAGCGCTATATAAGTTCAGTCCATTTACCATTTATTTTCATTAAGTTGGGAATTTCTTTTCAGAACAGAAGCAAAATTGATCTAGACGAAAGAAAATGTAAAAAAAAAAAAAATTCACAGAACAAACAAAAGATTTTTGCCGTAATTTTCAAAATAAACATTCAAACATTACTGTGCCGCCTTACTTCAATCTTTGGGTTATGTCAGCTACAGGCGCTAAAATAAGTTGTGTGATTCAAAAAAAAAAAAAATAGAATTATATTTTTGAACTTATCTTGACATTCATTCTTGCTTGGAACAATGAACAAAGCCTCTGTTGTTTTTTTTCATAAAACATCAGAACTCCTTTCTTGGAAATGAAATTCTGTGAATAATGAAAATGTAAAAAGAGAAATGTGTGAAGAGCATGAATAGAATATGCAATTATTGTAAAAAAAAAAATAAAAAAGGGACGCATAAAAAAAAAAAAATGCCTAACCGAAAGAGAAGCCAAGCTGATGCAGCGGAAAGAGGAACAAAGGTCCTGCAGGAAGAGATGCAAACGGTCTGCAATGACCTGCAAAAGCTCTAAAAATAACCACAGCCGCAACAAAGGACTGATCAGATGGGCTGTTTTTGTGTCTCCTCAACTGGGCGAAGGAGCTCAATTTAAATCCAGGGTGTGAGCTCGCACCATAATCTCCCAGAAGTCATCATTATGCAACAACAACAAAAAAAAAAAAAACATTTGAAACAATCCTGACGCCATTTGACTAGAAAACCTGGACACGGTTGCAACAAGTCCAATGAATTGTCTGAGAAGAATCTGACCGGTCAGCTTTTTTTTTTTTGTTGTTCTGCAGGGTGGAGGCATGCTCTGTTTTTTTTTTGTTGTTGTTGTTTTTTTCAGAGTGGCTTATGTAACCGCTGGTCAAGGCAAAAAAAAAAAAAACAGTAGTGAAACATCCTCTGCAGAATAATGTGTGTGCATGGGCGGAGTGTGGCGCTGCAAAGGACACTGAGACTAAAAGTACACTCTAGGTACTTTCCTGGGTGAAGAGTAACAACCGCCCGTCCCTCCCATGTGTCTGTCACTCAATTCTGATACTCAGCTGGTGCAACCAAGGAGTTGAAAGAAAAAGTAAAAAATGCATCAAATTAAAAAAAAAAGTAAACCACCCTCCCCCCTACAACAATCTGACTGAGGTTATTAAAATGACTACAAAGATGAACCTCAAAGAAAGTTGTTACTTTTTTTGTTTCTATGGCACAACCACAAACATGAAGGTATTTTATAGGGACTTTATGTGTGACCAACACAAAGTAGTGCAAAAAATGTGACCTGAGAGGGATCCTCCCCCTCAGATTAACATAGGAATATTTTGGCCTGCATTTTAAATGATTCATGATTTCAGGGGCATTTATCGTGTCGCGTTATCATTTCATCGGGATCAATTTCTTATGGTGGTCACAAACTCCGATTTATCCACTCCACGATAAATTCCAGTTGATAATGTTTAGAAGACACCGTCGGGATTGCTAGTTTTACCATTTTCCTCTGCTGTTTGGTGAATAAAAACCAATGAGTTTGAAAAATAAGGTCACTGTGTGCAGATCAGGGATACAAATCAAAGAGCTAAATCTGAATGCTAGAGTGGAGACGCTTCGACGAAACGTGAAAAGAATCTGCATTTTTTGGCGTATTTACAACGAAACGAAGACCCGTCCAGGTCATCTCATTAGGCCAGCAAAGGAACCGCTTCACCTTCCTGCATCGTCATTTTCTAATTATAGAAAACGGGAATGTTTTTGCCATCTGGCTCAAAATGGAATTAGAGATGTTTTTTTTTTTTTACCTACTTAACCTTCTCTCACTTTATCTCTTCCTTTCTGTTTAGGATGGTTTTGAGGCGACATAAATTACAAATAGTCAAACACAAAAGAGTTTAAAGAAAGTAACATTAGTGATGAGTGCCTCACAAGGGCTCAATCTATGACTAAAATAATTAAACTGGAGCTAAATGTAGTTTGTTTTGCACATTTTGGTCAATTGTCGCCGCATAAAAACAACTTCTACTAAAAGGAAAAGAAGAAGTCACCTCCCAAACATCCAGACAGGAGTTACAAAAGGTCATGTTCAAGTCAAGAGGACGAGCGTGAGAGTCTTCAGGGACGTTGCCTCCAACAGGCCACATCTAAAGAACAAGGGACAAACCACCTGCATAAACACAACGGGACACGGTTTCCCAGAAAGCTCTGGTGAGGCCGGGCAGTGTGTGCGTCACACAATGTCACTCTGTCCCAGTACAAACCGGACAAAGCGAAGAACCACGTGAACGTGTGAGATCCAGGCACCGAGGCGCGTCTACGCTCAGAACAGCGTCCACCAGAACATCGCGTCCTAAATCTCGAAATGCAAATAACAAGGAAATTTGCTCGACGTCCTGGTGGTGGTGAAACTCCCTGCTTTTGTTGCGCCGCGGCCGGCCCACGCAGAAGCAGAACAATGGGTATTTTTAGCGCCTTTTGTTAAATATACCGCAGCCGCCGGGGCTGCAAAAAATAAAGAAATAAAGTAACAGGGGTTTTATTTTTGGGGCAAGCGGTGACCGGTCTCCGGCGAGCCTGGCATGAATCACTAGAGTCTAAAAACTCCACGCATGTTTTTTTTTTTCTTCCTACTTCTTCTTCTTCTTTGTCACACTAATGACATGTGTGGCGAAACGGGCTCAAAAGACAGTAATAACAAACGCCGGCCTTGCAAAAACCCACTTGTTATGTCTGCGTCTATAGAAAAGATGAAAGATTCTTTCATCTTTTGAAATTTCCTCAACACAGTCAGGCCCGGCCTGTTTTTGTCTTGTGACACACAGACAGACAGAGAGAGGGAGAGAGAGAGAGGCAGCCATTAGAGGGGGAGAACAGAAGGGAGGTGGTAAAGCGTTCACTCCCCCCAAGATGAGGAAAAAACACAAGGAGAGGCACACCGAACGAGGAATTTCCCCAGTAAGTTCAAATGATTGCAGATGTGCGCCTGGCTGGCTGGCTGCTACCGCCACACATCTGGACCACAAAGCTCGCAGGCCTTCGCCGCCTGGCCCTCTCAAGAGCGCTCGCGACCAGCGACTCCGGTCCTGGAAAAGCGCTTAGGTGGGGAAACTCGACGGCCCGGTCGGCCCAGCTGCGGTGGATCCGCGGCAGGAGCTGGGGTTAGACGACAGGAGGCCTGAAAAGACCATTATCTCTCCGCTCGCGCGGCTGGGAGGAGAGACTTGGCGTGGGGAAAGTTCGGGGGATTTCACAACGAGGCAGAGAGGCGGCCTCAAATTAGCCAGGCTACTGAAGGTCAGCGTCTGCAGAAGCAATCCTTAGCGTTGGGGGCTTCGCATTTTCGTTTCTTTAAATCACTTCTCCTATTCGGTGCCTTTGAAAAAAACAAAAAAAGTAAAATCAGAACCTGTTAAACATTCCCACAACCACACATTTCAATTGATTTTATTGGGGTTTTATGTGACAGACCAACAGAAAAACAAAGATTTTTGTAGTATTTTACTGCAGAAATACAAAAAAAGGTTTCATGAAAACCCAGAAAAACCACAGACCGATCTGAAATCCAACAACTCTTTAATATTTTGAGGTAAAATATTTACTTTTCCTTTGGGATCAATATATTATTTTTGATTTGAACTGAATGACTAAATATGAGAAGATAAAAT